CCAAATACATTAACCACCCAGAAGCCATTTTTGTTAGAAAAAAAAAGTTTCCGATTCGAGCACAGTGTAATTATTAATAATTTAACCTCAAAATATAACCTAGGTTTTTTTTGTAATGTCTACAAAATTGAAACGTGTGAAATACGAACGTTAATTAAATTGATGTGAAATGTTTATCTGGGTTTATAATTTATGTGCGTGATTAATATAGGCATTAAATGCAAATTTTGACAATTAACGGCAAGAAACTTATTGAATAATGACAGCACAGCTGAGTGCAATCGAAGCCAAAATTTATACCTGTGGTTCGTAAAAATGCATTGTACTATTTTCTATTTTACAGAAACTGCCATGGACTGCACAAGGTCCATCAGACATGTCCGAATTTAAAGAACATGTAGACGAGGTATTTAGGACTACAAAACAACGATACCTTGCGCAACAAAAGAACCATGGCTTGCAAAGAAAAACTCAAGAGTCACCAGGGACCACATAAGTAATTACAAAATTTGCTTTTTAATTAACTAATAAACAACTATAAAAATATGCAATTTGTTTTTTAATTTTAAATTTTTTAACCTTAAACAATAATTCAATCTCTCGTTTCAAAAACGACATAGGCCACTTTTTTACAAAATTCGCTTTTTACCATGAAACGCTTCTACATGTTATGCATTCTACATGTAGAAGCTCTTGTGGTAAAAAATGAATTTGACTTGGTCGTTTTAAGAACGAGCGATTCAATTGATTATTGAATCGTATGCGCATGCTCGCTACCCAATTTTTGGATCCTGGCTCATGACATGACCACAACATGAGATCGCTATGAGGACTCATATGTATGCTCAAATGAAGTCATGGCATGACTTATAAATCATGACTTGACGTCCATATGAGTACAATATGAAATCAAAAATGTTGTGCGGGACCTTATTCATTTTTAGAGAGTACCTACATTACCTGTTATTTAAGGTATAACAAGGGGTCGGTTTTCTTTAAAAAAAAGTGGGGTGGCTGCAGACCTGTGCGGTACTCGAGTACAAGTACTCAAACACTGTACTCCAAGTACTTTCAGTGTACTTGGTACTCAGTCCCGAGTACTTTAATTTGAATGTACTTATACTTGTACTTGATACATTTAAGATTGCAAAAATGTACTCGAGTACTTTTCCGTGTACTCGAGTACTTTCCCGTGTACTCGAGTACTTTTACGTGTCCTCGAGTACATCCAAAGTATGCAATGAGTACATTTTTATGCAGTGAGGTTGGCGTGGACACATATGTGTGTAGTGGGTGTTGAAAATTTGGCAATACTGCTCAGACTTGTCAAATTACGGACATACTGCCTGAGGCAGCATCAGCCAGCTTGACTCACACGACAGCCTTAAAACAGCCTCAATTAACCCTTTCATTGCGGCAACCGGACGAATCCGCAAAAAAAATAGTACTCGCTCTGCGGGAGCCGGATATTTTTAACAGTGTGGAGACATGCTTTAGCACGGGAACCGGTCGCTACCGCGCGTTTTTATGTATTGTTGATTGTTTACTTTTAATGTTTTTGTAGGCGTCGCACACGTTTCAGCTGTTAGGAGATTTAGTATACGCAATTGCGGGAAACGTACCAATCTGCGTTATAAATTTCCATAAATTGTGTATTTTCGCAGTCGAAACTTGATGCTGATAGTGATAAGACGAACATTCATCATGTCGTGTGATTTTAGTTTTGGGATTTTATTTGTTGTTTTGTATTTTCTTATATCATTTCTGTTTCATTTGCTTTATTTGAAAAAATATATTAATTTTTTATATACGTTTTATAATGGAAAATAAATTTTATTTTGGAACAAATTTCTTTGACTTTTTTATTAATTAGAAAAATAAATAGTTATGAAGTATTTATTAAACAAAAAAAAACAAAAAATACTATTTACTGCGGGGACCGTATGAATCCGCGCATGCTGTATAAAAAAATCTGGGTCAGAAGAGGGTTCACTACGGGAAACGTACGCACCCGCAAAGGCTTTCCGACACCGTACGGTGGGCATAACTATTGAAAACGGATGCCGCAATGAAAGGGTTAATAAATAAAACGACACAAAAAAGAGCATTGAACAAAAGGTTTTTACTTATGTATGAAATGTAATTTTGTTTATATTTTGGTAGAAATAAGGTGACAATATTCCTCAAAAAGGTAATTAAAAAATAAAGCTAAGGCAAAATGAAACATGATACTAGCCAGCCTTGATAATAAACATAAAGCGAAATATCAATATTTGATGAAGGCAATAGGCCGGCTAGTGTTTAGTTTTGCACTAGTGATTCTAAATTCATTTCTTATTCGCCCCATTTCTCTAGCATTTTTCCCAACATTTCATAACTAAAGTGTACTCGTATGGGTACTTGAGTACAACGGTACTGTACTTGTACTTGGTACTCGAGTACTTTTATATAAGAGTACTTGTATTCAGTACTCGAGTACTTTTTCATTGTACTCGGAACAGCTCTGGGTGGCTGGGGGTGAATCTGTGACAAAATAAAAATTTCAAAATCAACTGAAAATTGCCTCATATAAAATAAAAATCGACGTGTCCGAGCATTTTTCTATAAAATTCATATTTTTTAAGTTCTTTTATATATCTCCATTATTCGAGCTAAACTGGTAAAACCCCTTAAAGGATTTGTTTTGGGGGTTGCCTAGATTCGATTTTTTCAGATTTGATCCTAGTTCATTTTTTGTGTTGCACAGTGTAATTTAATATTTATATGTATTCAGTCAAATAACAAGCAAAAACAATTGATTTTAGAACACTACAACATGAAGTTTGTAGGTATATGCTCCGCGGCGTTCGAAAATAACAAGGAGGTCAGGTATAATGTAAAGTCACGTGATTATATACCTATCCTTATACCATATCCAAAGTACACTCGCATTTCGAACGCACTCCATATAACAAATACGCACTCCTTATGTATCATGCTTACAGCATTATTATAATAATTTGCAGAACGATTTGCAATACAGTAAATGTAGTATTGCCAACTGTTCTGCCAAAATGCACAGTCGCCACAAACGCACAAAAGTGACGTTGAAATGGTTTTATTTGAATTTTAATTAAGCTTAGTGGCCTATTCTTTCAAGTTAATCTATGCAATTTTACTATAAATGGGAAAAGTTTGTTGTGCACCGGGATTCCCACATACTTCCACAAGTATATGGGGATTTCACGTCAATGCGCCATCTTTTGAGAATTTTAACAAATACTGAGTTATTTGGCCGCTTTCCGGGATAGAGATGTATCACCTCCTTCTTCCACCCATAATATATAATGTATTATATTATAATAACTAGTTATAGGTATCGTACGCTTCCACCCTGTTTTCAATCAACAAAAATTGTATTCTACAGTTGGCCACAATCAGTGTTACCAGATTCTGTCAAAAAAAGACCGTACGTTTCGTTCGAATTTACCTTAATTACAAAAATGACTCAATGGACAATATTAAATAACGTCAACTTGACATAATTGCATTTATTTGCATTGTTTCATTTAAGAAGATTATATTCAGGAGCTTCAACTCCATATAAATTCGAGGAGTGGGGGGTCCACAAATATGTCGCACGTGTACAACAGAGACTACCTTGTCTCTGGTGTACAATGACCGAGAACGCAAAATTGAGTTCTACGCATCTTTTGCAGAGATAAAGAAGGTACCTTTTTAACCTCTATTATTTTGTGCATCTGTCAAGCGTCAAACCAATGTTTACCTTTACCAATTTCGTAAATAAGAAGATTATAATGTAATTAATATGAATATTTTATATTATAATAAAATATTAGTAGTAAACAGAACGGTTTGTTAAAACAGTGAGTAAATTTATGAACCAATCAGTATTACTATCGTTGTAGCAGAAAACGTAAACTGCAGTTTACATTTAAACCTGCATGTAATGATGTTAATTTGGTAATGTAGTGTAACATATAAAATGACTGAATTTTGCAATGTAAAATCAGACAATTTCAAGTTTTGTGGTGTAATTATTACACTGTTATAATAGTTATTTATGTATTAAGGGCATAATAAGGTTTTTATGGTCCGAGGCGCTATTTCGAGCCCGAGCGCGTTAGCGCGAGGGCTAGAAAAGCGTCGTAGGACCATAAAAACCAGTTATGCCAGCAATGCATACAAAACTTTATGCACGATTAATATATTATTAGTTTTATAATATTATTGTTTTTAAAGATGTTTACGTCAAAGAATTTTTGTTATAATTGTCATGTTATAATGTCAACTGACATCAGTCAGTTTTAAAGTTTAAAGATGAATGAAATTGAGGAAGCAGCTGAAAAGGCGAAAAATTGCGGCCTGCTGCCGGAAAAATCAAAATCTTTATGCGAAAAAACTTACTTCGAATGTATCAAATGGTGTAACATTGTTGTTTTTAATTTTTGACGTTTCATTATAGCCCGCTGGGTCATAATAACGCCCGCGGGCTATAAAAAAACGTTTACGTCAAAGAATTTTTGTTATAATTGTCATATTATAATGTCATCGTGCATAAACTTACTGATGGTATTTCAAATAACTAATGTGTAGGTTTTTATCCATTAACAAATTAAACAATTTTTAACACAGCACAAACATCCCATATATAGAGATTTTCTCAAATAAAAATTTTAAAATTAAAATAAACTTGTCAATCAACCTTCTTTATTTCTGTTGTAAATCTTCCAACCAATGAGTGCACGTGCAGTCTGTCACGTGAGTTGACGGTCTATGCGCGGTTGATTAATAATTATTTGTGCGCATTGTACACGATACGACGCGTTTTCTATCCATTCTCATGCGGAGTTGAAGCTCCTGAATATAATCTTAGTTTCATTGTGTCATTTTGTAATTAAGGTAAATTCGAACGAAACGTACGGTGCTTTTTTGACAGAATCTGGTAACACTGGCCCCAATCCATTGTGTGGATTGTGCAGTTGGCAATGTTCTGTGGTTGGCAATCTTGGTACATATTCTAACCCAACCTTTAGTCGGTTTGTTTACGTTGCTGTTTAATCAAAATAACTTATTAAAAAATCCTTTATAATGGCGAATATGGTGCATTGTCAGCTCTGGATGGGCAGCGTAAGTAAAAACTCTTTAATGTTCAACATTTTTTATGTAATAAACTGTTTTTTTAGCTTGAACCGTATATGACAGAAACATTCATATTGACAGCGTTCCGTAAAATGGGCGAAAACCCATTGAATGTGAAAGTAATGCGTAATAAATTCACGGGGGAACCTGCAGGGTATTGTTTCGTGCACTTTGCCACAGATGAGGAGGCTATAGATGCAATGCATAAATTAAATTCAAAGCCGATACCTGGCACTTCACCCATGGTGAGGTTTAGGTTAAATAACGCCAGTAACACAGGTAGAACGTTATTGGACAGAGAGTTTTCTGTGTGGGTGGGCGATTTAAGCCCTGATGTAGATGACTATAATTTGTATAGAGTGTTTTCATCAAAGTATAACACAATTAAGACTGCTAAAGTTATTTTGGATAACAGCGGGTTCAGTAAGGGGTATGGGTTTGTTCGTTTTGGAAGTGAGGATGAAATGAAGGATAGTTTGACTATGATGAATGGTTACATTGGTTTGGGAACAAAGGCCTTAAAAATATGTAATGCAGTTCCTAAACCTAAAGGTGCTTTAGGCACTACAGGCAGTACAACTCCAACTACAAGCACTTTAACTAGTTCTACCACAGATTACAGTCAGTATTATGATCCTACGACGTATTGGCAGAACTATGCCAATTGGCAAACAGTGAGTTAATAATGGTGTATTTTGGAGTCATTTTAAGTGATTTATTTTAGGCTGGCTATTATGATCAGAGTGGTGAAGCTCAAACAGCTGAAGGTTTTATGGCAGCTGCAGCCGAAATTAAAAAGGATGATGACTTAGAATTAATAGGTAAATATAATGAGGGGTTTAAGAACCAAGTATCTCCAAAACAATAAAATTTAACAGAAGGTAAGAAAAATGCTTCTATAAATTAACCTAATTATTTATACAATATTTCACTTGGTATAGTCAATTGCAGCCAGGACACACTGAGCTTAAAGGAAACATTATTACAAAAAAATGACAACATAAACTGTGGGCAGGGGGTTATTTTGGATGCTTTTGTAATCAATTTCCCATTTATAATATAAATCATTAGTGGTACAATATTTTCCTGCTTACCTGTGCAATGGGGTTGTCTACCTGAAACAGTTATGTATCTGAAAACTGCATAGGTCTATAGAGCAATATATGCAAGCTCTATGAGATATTTTCCAAAAAAAACATGTTATATTGACTAAAATAAGTTATGAACATGTGGATATGTGATCTGGAGACATTCTGAATGTTATGTCATGCTTACAATTTCTGACAGGCTCAGGTCTGGAAATGATGTCTGAAAAAGCAGAAGTGCAATTTATCAAGAGTTTAAAACATATACAAATACAAGATAAATATGATCCAAGATTCATCATATGTAGAGCAATTAAAGAAAGTTATTGTTGTGTATTTCAAATTTTTTTTGGGTATGTTTTATCCAAATTTAAGTACCGTAAACACGGGTGGCTTTGGCTCACTTTCAAACTTCAGCTTAAAATTTTTGTGGTTTTAACAATCATAAACATTAAATTTTGTATACCAAAATTTGAGTCTTGAGTTGCTCTTTCATAATAACTATGTTATAATATTACATAGGGCTGAGTTTCAAAAATAAACATTAAAAACTGGGTGTGCAAAGTTACCCCCTGGTTGCGGGTTACTTTGTCTCACAGTGTTTTTTCAGTATAAAATGAATGTAATATTATATTTTATTTTTATTAGACACGTGTTAGCAGCGACATATATCTATTGCAAGGGATTACCAATAAAAAAAATAAAAAATCGACCTGTAGTTAACCAAGGATCATCATTCCAATGGATTGCGCATAATATAGAAATTGTAACGCGTGTATTTCTAAGAGTTTTGCACTGATACGATATATACAATTTTAAAGTGTAATAAATCCCATTTCTTTCTTTAAAACACTGATTTTCCTGTAATATAAACTCAATAGAATCGCTCAATTGACAGGTTTAGACCAACAAATTATAAATGTTAATTTTATCGAGCGCCAAAAGATTTTTCATAAATGGTTTAAAGTCACCCGCGGGGTGCAAAGTCACCCGTATTTACGGTACCTAACACATTGTAGAATAAATAAACCAATCGTCTTATAGAGTGTTATTTGACTTTTAATACATAAAAAACACAAAAATAATCTAAAAGATCTTTTCCAAGTTGGTAAAAAAACTGTTTACCCTTGACATAAAGGGAAGTTGCGCGCCAATATGTATACAGGGTGTCCCGAAAATAGTGTGCAATAATCCCAAGCGGTTTTTAGGGCCAAAAATAGAGAAAAAACTGTATATGAACCAGTGGCGTAGCTAGCCTCGAGGGGGCCCCGTATCAAAAGTCTGGTAGGGGCCCTTATACGGGAAAAAAATTTCGGGGTGTCACGCCCAAAGTCTATTTTGGGCAAACACAAAAAATTTGTAGGGTATCATTTTTTTGCATTTACCAATTTATTATACTATATTAGATAATATACGTATACATAGCTTTTTATGTACAGGGTGTCCCAAATTGGTTATCCGTATAGGCTATCTCAGTAAATATAAATGCTAGAAAAAATTCGACCACGCATCCCCGTCGTCTTTTTTAAAGATACATCGGTTGATGTCTTTGAATTTTCTCGATTCGCATTTGTTTAGGAGATATACCTATTTTTTCAATTTTTGCCAATTTTTACAAATGCTTGTAGCTTCGTTAATATTTGAGTTACGAATACAGGTTTAAGACATTATGTAGGCACTTTTTATCACAGAATTCATTAGTGTAAACAAATTTTTTTAGCTCTTTTAGTTTAAGAGATATGACCCTATACGGACAACCAATTTGGGACACCCTGTACAGGCAAATTTTAAAATTTGGTCTGGTTTTAGACATTTACCGTCCTTCAACATCTTTTAAAAGGTTTCTATTTTAAAATAAAGGCAAGTCATTTGAAGTAATTGTAACGCTAATAATTATTTCTAATTTGCTATTAATATAACCTATGATAATAACACGCAAAGCAGACTGCGGCGCAGAGCACATAACAATATGCGCAGACTGCGCCGCAGACAACGCATAGCGGAAAGGTGCGGGCAGAAACAATTCGTATGAGTTCACGGCCTCGTTGGAACAGGAGGGTATTCAGGAAAATTTTAATTTAATAAATTGAAGTATTAACAATTAAATAATAATATCATTTATTTATTTAATTTCATGCCTTTATTTTTTTAACATGTGGTTAATATGTTTTTTTGCTTACGCATGTCGATGCCCATCGGGAGCCCCCCCTAGCCGGGGGCCCCGTATCATTTATACGGCTGATACCGCGGTAGCTACGCCCCTGATATGAACATTGGTCAGCAAATGGCCCCTAAGGGACCTACAGAGCCCCTAATATGGCGCCCCTGAAGATAGTTTATTATTAATATTTCTTGTTAAATATACTAAATTAAAAAAGAAAAAAGATATTTTTTTTAATGTTATTTAATTTTTATTCGCATTTTATCGATGTTCAACAAGAGTACCTTTTTATGTAGAAAACTCTAAATTTTTATATTCATATACACTCATAGATACAAATTTTAAATGTTATTTTATAATTCAGCATAAAAAGTTAAGTAAGCATACACAATTTTATTATTTTATCTTAAACTGTTTCGGAAATATTAAAAAAACATCTTCAGGGGTGCCCCTTTAAAAGGCTGCAGCTCCCTTAGGGGCCATTTGCTATAACTATAAAATAATTAAACTTATAAAATGAATGAAATAAACTATTACAATAAATCTAATCTAAACAAAATTGGTTTGAAATACAATAATTACCATAGATACTTTACACTGAATCAATTAAAGCTGACAAATAGTGGCTAAAACGGATATCTGCGGACGTTGGAAAAGCTCGATAAAATCTAGATAAGAACTGGCGATTTAAGGGTCGCGTTGGTTTTTTATAGACAATATTAAGGTAAACTTGGAAGGTCATTGGTCAAAATTATGGTAACTCCCCCCGCAAAGGTCATAGAAAATTGACTGGTTCAAAGGTCATAAAATCTAATAAGAAGGCGTTACTCGAAAACTTGGCTATTTGAAAGGCATGGAACAAACTCAGTGGGGATTTTACTAGGCACTGGGCGGAGTTTTTTCCATCCGTGAATATATACTATAATTCACTAAATTCGATAATTATTGATAGCTCCCAAAAACATGTCTTAAACGTAACGATTGAACCCCCTATTTTTCTATCTGGTTATTAAACCGTATTAACTCAGTTTGATTTAATTGCGTTTATTTCATTTAAGCTATGCTTTATGAGTTTTATCAATCTAAACTTACTTTACATTAGCTGATCGAGCCTTATATTTTAATAAGTAGCAGCGCTTTCATATTTACAGAACAATACAATATAATCTTATTTCTATACTCTAAAATCTCTATTTCTGGGTTTAGTTTTAAACTGAATCAATTCGTTATTCTTTTAATTATAATAATTTTATTATACTTTTAACGCTATTCATTTAGATTTAAAATTCTTGGGTTACAGAAAGTGTGGTTGCCATATGGTAGCCCTTAGACTGACTTTCTCTGCTGGCTTTTGGAAATTGGGATACCCTGTGGTAAAATACTAAATTTTCTTAACAAAAACCCAATAAATTTGTTTTTGATGTTATATTTTAAGCACTCTTTTCAAAATTAACTTATTTCGCACATGTTGAGGATTTCTAAACCTTTCTAAGAAACTTCTAACTTAAGAATTATTTTAACCGTCTTTTCCAACTTTCTCCCTATTATTATTTCTTCCTGATTTTGTCTTTAGGGACACCCACCCTGTATAGGGTGAATTATAAAAAACGCCCCAAGCCATAGCTTATTTTTAAAGATATGAAATTCATTTTATCAAGCGCCTATTTAAAAAAATGTATATGTATATCTTAACAGGGTTCGATTTGAGGCGGAACGGCGTTCCGGTATCTCTTTTGGAAGAAATACTACGAAAGTTAACTTAAACAATTAGGAAACTGTTCTTTTTAACTTTTTTTATTACTACCTCCCAGTAAACCCGTTTATGTAAATTTTACGTCAACATGATGTTATTTAATATGAGTGAACTTACGTCAGATACTGAGGTAACAAAAATTAAACAAATGATTTGAGGTCTCCATGATTCTCCTGATATAAATTTGACATACCGCTGATGAAATAAGGACGTTAAATTGTAACTAAATAATAAATAAAATCATGGTTATGCGTAAAAAATAAAGTTGTTATGTTTATATAAAAATTGTGTGGTGTAGTGGTCAGAGCTCCTGGGTACGAGCCGAGAGGTCGTGGGTTCGAATCCCACTTGGGTATGGTTGTTTATTTGTGTTTGTCCATTGTGTATAGTCCTTCGGAGGGGACTTTAAGCCGTCGGTCCGTTCCTACCCCTAACCCGCACAAGCCATTCAGTTGGCTTATGGGACATCTTAGTTTGGATGTAAGGGTGGAACTAAAAGAGCACTTACTTTATAAGTATGTTCCATGTGTCCAATTACTATATAAAATGTCCAATTACTATACTTTTTGCATGTTTTTATAAAAATATTATTAAAAATTCAAATATTCTTATTTTTAAGTAATCGTAAATAAAGTTTAAACAAACAAACTATCCTTTTTATAAATTTAAAAGAATAAAACAAATCTTTAAAAGAACGGCATAAATAAATTTTAAATAAATAATATTCCTTAAGTGTCCAATAACTATGTGGTTTACCCTACAAAGTTTTATTATTTTATCTCAAACCGTTTCGGAAATAATAATAAAAACCATCTTCGGGACGCCCCGTTAAGAGGCTGCAGCTCGCTTAGGCGACATTTGCCTACCTATGTTTATAGGAAGTTTTCTTCCCATTTTTGTCTTTAGAAACCACTTCTGGAATATTGCATACTATTTTTGGGACACCCTGTATAAATGGAAAATTGTGTTCTCAAAAGGATCCCTTTTGGATTTCCAGAAAAACGGAAAGCATCCAAAATGGTTATTCCAGTTTTTGTCGTGATACTTTCCTTTTAAGTTCAGTGAGAGGACTGGATGTAAAATTTAAAAAATATTGTATTGAAGGTTAGTTTATAGGAGAGCGTTTTTACCCACTGAAATTTCATTATTTGGAGATACCTGGTGATAGCACTGGACCTCAATAAAAAAACTATTTTTGTAACCTATTTTTAGATCATTCTGTGCCTATTGACATTGATAAGTTAAATAGAGAAAAAATTGATCAAGATTGCAATTTATGGGATGCCATAGAGAGTTCAAAATGGTTACCTTATGAAGCTTTGGAAGTTATTTAGATTTTAATATTTTGTGTGTAATTTTAATAATAAAACATTTTCATTCATAACAGGCTTGAATTTATTTATAATAAACTTTACCAAATAATTATTAGTATAAAACTTGTATAACTAAATAAATAACAATATTTACAGAGATCTACAATTCAAGTATAGTTCTTTCTTCGGACTCTTTCAGGGTATTATCTTCCGCCGGTATGGTAACATTGTATTCTAAGGCTGGTACACTTGTTCGCCTTTCGGCGGTTATCGTCATTATATTCTCGACTTCCTGCTCACTACTATTGTTCTTTTCTATGTTGAGTGGCGTTTTCCCTCCGTTGGGGGTCACCATGAAAATCTCGAACTTGTTGGTACTCACAGGAACAAACATTAAAGAGCCAGGTTCCGGATTTGTGTCTGGTATTATCGGTTTTTTAATGTTGTTGCGGAATACTTCGAGTTCCGTATCGAATTCTTGCTCTTTTTGCGATTTTGGTATCCGGCCATAACGCGTTCTTTTCGGGGGATTTATTACCTCGAAATCCGCATCCGAATCGGATTCCACATTCGATTCATCAGCATCGCTTTCGTCTAAAACCGACGAAATATCCAGGGATTTTTTCGTTTTAAGTTTCTTCGGTTTCGGTTCTTTGACTTTTTTGGGTTTAACCACATCCGCCACTTTGGGCACTCTAATTTTTTTCGTTACAGTGCTACACTTCTCCTTTTTAGCCTTTAACTCTTTAACCTTTTCCTCCTCCAACATCTGCAACTCCTTTTCCTCCATATCAACCTCATCCTTCAACTCCCTATAATCAAACTCGCACGGATTCATCATCGCTTTGTCGATCAACGCCTTATTGACTTTCTCCTCCTTCTTGAACTTTAACTTTAACTCCCGTCTGTTCCTCTTCGGGAACAAATCGCACATCAGCGTGAAATCCGTCCCAATCGTATTTAACGCTTTGTAAAACCTCAGGGTCTCGTTCTGGGACCAATCCTTGGACCGTTTCGCGCGCTTGTAAACCCCGTAGCCGGTGTCGAAATCCCCGTCGATCACCTTGGACTTTTGGAGTTCCTCGCGGTTCCGTTTCGTGCCCTTGTTCTCCACCACCAAGCTTTTCTCGTCGAGGATTATCTCGCCCTGCGGTCCCACTTTTAACTGCGGGACCGGCATTTCGTTCTCTTCGTCGCTTTTGTTCTCGTCTTCTTCGTCAATTTTTTTAGGTTCCACGCTTTCTGGGTCGTCGACGATTTCTTCTATTACTTCTCCGTCGTTTTCTTTCTCTTTGACTTCATTTCTAAGAAAGAACAACCGATTAAAACCCGTCATAACGTGTAATATACAGGGTGGTCCAAAAGGAACCTTTAATAATTTGAGAATCAATAAAAAACGTTAAATAATAATTTTATTTATAAACTTATATCAAAAACTTATTTTATTGAAATTAGGTGAGTATTGTTTTTGTATTAGGTACCATAATTAGGAATTACATTCGTTTTCATACTACAAGCAGTGACGTCACTACTGGGGTGATATCTCTTTTTAGAAAAAAAATGGTACGCCAATGATATAAAAAATGGCACATTTTAAAATAGGCAATCGATTTACGAAAAAAAGTTCTCTTGAAGTTTTTTCGTAAAATGTATGGTTTCACAGCAAAAAATTTACTGTAATTAAATTTTATCATAGGCCGTCAAGTTTTTTATTGCAGTTGGTGGAGAAAATTTCGAGCAACTCCTCTAATGATTTAAATTTTGGTTTCAGTTCTAAAATACTTTTTTTTAGTTTTAATTTTAATTGTTTGTTTCTGTTGTAAAATATTTTGTAGTTATTTTTATTTCAAAATAAACATTCTTGATTTGGTGCTATAAATTACTAAAAATGAATTCATTAATTAAAATTTCCCGTTTTTTTTAAACCAACTGTTGATTTTAGAATTGTAAAAAAAATGATTAGATAATTGGCGTACAATTTTACTGTAAAAAGATAAATTTTACGAAAAAACTTATAGAGAACTTTTTTGTAAATCGACTGCCTATTTTAAAAATGTAGAAAAATCATTTTTAGATCATCACAATTACAAATCCTAACAAATTTAATAAAGAACTAAAAAAGTTTTTAATAACTAAATGTCCATACGGGCCTGGCGATTTATTTGAATTGAACTAGTTTTTTTTCTGATTTGATTGTTTCTATACTTTTAATTTTGTTTTGTACAATCTTGTGCTTTGTAATGTTTATACATTCTGTGTTTGACCTGTCCTATAAATACTGTTGTATTTCGTTTGGATCAATAAAGATTATTATTATTATTATTATTGGCATACCCTTTTCTCTGATATTATCACCCCTGTAGTGATGCCACTCCTTGTATGAAAACGAATTTAATGGTCAACTAATTAAAAAAACAATACAATACCAAATTTCAATAAAATATGTTTATTAGTTTAAAAGAATTATTTTTTCAAAAAAATATTTGCAACTTCAACAACTTGTATTTCTGAAACTGTTGAGTTTTCGATATAAGCAGTTTATTAAAAAATTAATATTATTTTAATGTTTTGTATTCATTCTCAAATTATTAAAGGTTCCTTGGACCACCCTGTATAATATAATGTGTTAACTTAAAAACCTATACCCAAGCAGCATTTTAAGTTAAAAGTATATTTTTACAGTAAACGAAAACGTTAACATAACGGTACGGTACGAAAAATTTCCCAATTTGGGGTAGGAAATGGCAAATTATTTTTACTACATAATTATAGTTAATCCAAGCTACCAAAAGAATAACGTAATAAAAACAAAGGAAAATACTACATATTAACCTAAAAATAACGTTAAAATTACTTAATTTCTGTTCTCCCTTTCTAAACCTTTATATTTTCTTTGCCTCTTTAATTTATATTTCAAAACAGTATACCTACCTAAAGTAGGTTATAATTAATACCATAAAGTAAAATTAATAAATATAACTTATATTGACAAAAAAAATTATATTTATCTTTCAAACTTAAACGCATCTTATATTGATAAAAATAGCTATGATAAATCACAAAGATTGAATGCCCTTTAAATATTTAAGTGTTTAAAAAAATATATGACTTATCTATAATATAAATAAATCCAAAAAAACGTGCATAATTACATAAATCTTTAAAAAATGTATACCACTTTAATCCTTAAAAAGATCCCATGCAAATAAGAATTATTTACGGTAATAAAATGGTTTTAGTAACGTAAAAATATGACTTATGAGTAAAATTTAGTTTAGAGTGAAAATATTTACATTAAATTTACCAAAATCCATTAAAATAAAATACGCCTTGACAAGATTTGTTACTTTAATGACAGTTTTTAAGGTAATTTAACAACATAAATTCTTAACTTAAGTAATAAATCCGCAAAGCTCCAGTACGTTACTTAAAATGCTGCCTGGGTATACTTCACACTGTGGTATACTTTCATAAAAATGTGATAAAAAATTAACTTTAAATTTAACATTTTGTTGACTTACTTCATTGGGTTTGTTGTGGGGTTGTAGAAAATCAGGTCTATCATTGTTAATTTTTGTCTATCAGGGGTGGAACCAAAGTATTTTAAATTGAATTGACGCCTGGCTTCCGCCAATTTACGCGAATGAACTTTTTTCTTACATTTTTCCCTGATAACTGAGTTAAACTCCTTCCCCTGCCTCTGGGGGGACATACACTCCGACATGTTTGAAATATCTGTAGCTGATGCCACAGAACAAACCTAAAAATAATTTATTATCAGAAACTAGCTTCGCTTCCGCGGTTTTAAGGGAAATTATTTTAACATTAAACCAATCCTCAAACCAAAATTTGTTCAGATTACAGAGCTAGTTATAATTATTATCCCACAGGATGCATTTTTTTGGGATAGTAAGTAATATGTAATTTCATGACCTAGGAAATCTTTACCAAAATTCATCAGATTTTAAAAATTAGAACTTTTAATTACAGGAACTGTGCATATCTGTATGCAAAAAATCACGTCGATTTGTTGCTCCATTGCTGCATCAAAGAAGAACAAACCGACAAACACACTTTTGCATTTATAATAATTATAAAATTTTCATTTAAAATAATTATAAAATTACTTTATATAGGTATTAGTATAAATTAAATCAGAGATTAAAACATTAAAACATATGTAAATTTTAAGCAAAAACACGTTTTTAGTTCATAAAGAAAATCATAAATATCATCATATTTTTAAATAAAATTAAAGATGATTTTTATCAAATATTTTTTAACTAATTTTTAACTAAAATGTTGAAAACAACAAAACCTTGAAATTAAGATATTGTATAAAAATTAAAAACTTATCTAACATTTAGAAAAAACTAATGAATAATTATTTTATTAATTTACATAATGTTAAGATTATACAAAAAGTTGTGTTTTTGATACTTGTATCACTGGATCATAAACTTTTAATTGGAAAAACCATTAAAAAAATAATTAAACCATCTCACTTGAGATTACATTTAATTGAAAACAAAGATAAAACCTAATAATTGCATAGCTTGCTACAAAATAAAACAAACATTTACACAATCAAATCAAAAATAATTATTATAAATGCTTACCGAATCATTTCTGATGCGGTTGTACTGTCTACGAGACTCGTCTTCAGATTCGCTGGCACTGAAACTGGTACGTCTGTTATTTAACCGGGGGATGGCTTTTATCCTCGATCGGTTAATTTTACTAGGGCTTGGGGGCGGAGGAGGGTAGTCGCTGTCAGAATGGTGCGGATTTTGAAAAGGTGGCGGCAATTTTCTTATAACTTTATCTGAAATATTACAAACAAGATTTTGACGTTTTCTTGGTTATTAAGTACAACTAAAAAGTAGACAAACTTTTATGTAAAAGTAGGTACCTATACAACTAAAAAGTCAATGCTGGATTAACCAATAGGCCTAGGGCGCCGCGAAGCCAATAGGTGCCCAGGCAGAAGGCTCAATTTTGTTTAAGTGTTTTAAATAGCAGACTCCAAGTTAGTCATATGGTCAAAACTAATTAAGGAGAAAAACATTACTTTAACATTCCACAATATTAATATTATATCGACCCATGCAACGAAGACTATAGTAACTCAAAAAAACGTGGGTATTGATTTACTTAATGGCATCAACAGATTTTTTCAAGCTCTATTTGGTGGAAGATTACAGTAACTCAGACATAAAACGATAGGCAACCAGTGAACAACTTCCCTGTATAGTAAGTGTAATAATCCACATTCCTACAGGCGAAAAGTTCAGTTACTCTAGTCTACAATCAAAACTGAGTTACAATAGTCTTCGTTGCATGGGTCGATATAATAGTATTAATACAATACAATTGTGGATTTTTTACAGGAGAAAGATCTTTTTCTTTCTTAAAAAGAATAACAAAATTTCAACGCAGTTGCCTAGTAGACGAGAAGACTGCACTTATATAGAAGCAGAAGAAGCAAATATAATAAATTTTGAAAATATTCCTTTTCCGATTTTAAATGCAGGAAAATTAAATTGTAAATCGTCGTTGATGATTCAAAAGGTCGTGTCACTTGGACGCCTTTCTGCAGAATAGAAATAATATTTTTGTGGGTTGATTCCCTTGTGCAGAAAGGCGTCAAAGTGAAATTCTGTTTAAGGTTATTTAAAAATTGTAAAAATTAAGTTAGTTCTTCTTTGTTTTGTTTTTCTATATACAATACAATTATTTTTTTTATTTTATTGTAATTTTTTTTATATAACCCTACTTGTCCCCCTATGTGCACCCCTGTCAGCTAACATGTATTGTGTTATATTAATTTTAGGAACTAATATGGGCTATAATTATAGGCGCCATTATTATTGGCCTAGGGCGACAAATTGTCTTAATCCGGCCCTGTCAAAAGTAGTCAAATTTTTACTGTAAAAGTACCTATAGATAACTAAACACACACATTTTATCTCACATCTTTTTTTATCAATTTTTTTTTTGTATCTACCATTTCCCTGTAAAAACAATGAAACTGAGAGAAATGACTTTGAGAATAGTGATGAGAGATATTTCAACAACTGTGATTTTTTTACTGATACCAATAAATTACGAAGCAATTACCAATTTATACAGTGCTTGCAAGTCCGACCGGGTTGGGAAGGACGCGTGAAAATAACAAGGATAGAACGCCAAACAGAAGGCGCTTACAATACGCACGCCTGCCAGCTCTCACCAATCAAATTCTGTTTGGCATTCTATCCTTGTTCTTTTCAAGCGGGTATTGAACAACCATCTTCCCAACCCGGTCGGACTTGGATTTGCAAGCACTGTATATAAATATCCTTGTAAATATCAGTAATTTTACAAAGTCTTTACTTTGCCGACAGTGACAGACGCAATTTAAGTATCATTTAATTTCATGGCTTACCTAGGCCCTTGCTCTGATACAAAAAATAAAGATAATACACATCCTAAACTATAAAAATAAAACATTCAATTTTCTTAGTTTTTTCAAGAAACTTTCTTGACCCATTACTGGTAATATTCATAAGGAAGAATTGAACCTACACTTCGCCAAAGTTTGTTTTGTTTTGAGTGCGTTCCACCAAATTCAAATACCAACAGACAGCTGTTTTGACGTATATTGGGTCCCATCAGTGTCGGGCAACTGGGGTAGTGGAACACACCCAAAGGACTACCTGAGCAGTATATAAGCTCAGTTAGTCCTTTGTTTCCACTACACAAAGTTGCCTAACACTGATGAGACCCAGTATAGGTCGAAACAGCTGTCTGTCGGTATTCGAAGTTGGTGGAACGCATTCAAAACAAAAGAACTTTGGCGAGTGTAGGTTTAATTCTTTCTTAAAAATAAATCATTATGAAGGTACACAAAATACCATGTTTTGAGGCAGAAAGACCTTGGTGAAAATGTGAAAAAGCCGTGATCATGTCATTTATATAAAAAATCACAGTAATAATTCACTGTTTATAAAATCACTCATAACTACTTGGGAATTCAAAAAATGAGGTTATTTAGTTGTTAAACTAAATGTCAGTTTGGCAATTTGTTTAAAAAAAAACTAATTAACAGAAATATTAAGTATACCATAAACACAGGTGGCTTTGCACCCCGCGGGTGACTAACCTTTTTATGAAAAATCTTTTCGCGCTCGATTAAATTAACATTTATTATTTGTTGGTCTAAACCTGTCAATTGAGCGATTCTATTGAGTTTAAATTACAAGAAAATCAGTGTTTTAAAGAAATAAATGGGATTTATTTAGAGATGTAAAAAAACGGTTTTTTTGTTTTTTTTTCAAAATGAAATTTTGAGTAAAATGTAAAATATATTACATTTTTCATTATTGAAAATTTTGACCAAGACTAAAAAAATCTGATTTCTTATTATTTGGTAGTTTCCACATTAAAAACCAATAGCAATGTAAAACTACACTAATACAAAAAATTAAAGGATAAATTTTTTTTTTTGCGATTTTTCGGATAGCTGTATCTTCGTTAAAAATGGTCGTATTGGAGCCGTAAAAACAGCAATTTGAAGCTTAAAGTTTCTAGTTTTGAGATTTTTAGATGAAAAACGTGCAACGCTCTATTCTAACAAATACCGTAATAAAAAAAATCGATTTTTTTTTATTTCTTTTTTGGTCCACGGAATGTTCTGACCACCAATGAATAAATGTTCTACAAGAATTTGCTATTGTTTTTTCCATACTCTACATAAATTTAAAAAATCATGAAAAAAGTGCTTTTGGTAGCTTTTTGAAAAATCAAGCGCTGAATCAAAAATATTATATGTAGTTACTTTTTTAGGATCAAATCAAAACAAGCGCGACCCTTATTGGTCAAATCGGTGGTTGTGGCGAGTGCATAACGCGAGACTGTTTTTACATTTAATAAATTTCATTTAGTGTCTAATTTTAGTCCATGGAAACATAAAAAAAATAGGCAAATGGGACTAATCTTGAAAAAAAACCTAAAATGTGAAAAAAACAATGAAAAAAAACCTAAAAAAAAAACAAAAAAAAACGGACCGTTTTTTTAAGTGGCATCTCTAGATTTATTACACTTTAAAATTCTTAGAAATGAGTATGAGTATGGGAACGTATGGCAAGCCCCAGATATATTGTCATCCACTGAACCCGGGGTTATATTACCCCCTTTCCGTTCTCCTGCGTATCCCGCCAAATCACAGCATTACCTGTGTTTGTTGGATCCGAAGTTTTTACGCCGGCTGGTAGATCCACCCTAGGAGTTCGTGGATGACAGTGTCAAAGGTTAAGGCAGCTCCCGGAATTTTTGTCAGCCGGGTCGGGCCATACGTCCAGTTTAGGAAGGGTTTTTGGAGGACATTGAACTGACCCAAAACTAAGTACAATCCGGAATCCTCCTCAACCTAGGCCTTAGTAGTACCCCCATTCAATTGGTATTCGTGAATGGGGGGTGGGTATGTTAGTTAGTTTCTTACTCCTATCTTTGTTGGTTTACTTCCGGTTCGTCAGTTTCTGTGTCCGTCTCCGAGTCGGATTCCGGAAGTTGATACAGTTTTTCCGTCTCCTCCCGCATACGGTTTTTGTGGGAGCTGATTTGTTCCCAGCTGGCGAGATCGGTTTGTGAGAATTGGATTGTCTGGGCCAGGGTGTCGTGGAATGTGTAGCAAGATCTACCGACTTTTTTTGACCGGTTGCTATTGTTATGTCTGAAGGATATCTTGTCAGTACGCCCCTGTTCGTGATGTATTTCGATGCGACGTTAAATATGTCTGATGCTGCTATTATTGTTTCTAAACCCAGCCAGAAGCCGTTTTGTGCGTGGTCCTTTAAGTACGCCTCTGTTTTGCGTTCCCAGTCGTTAATATGCGCGTAGCGGTGGGGATGGTCAAGGATCGCATCCTGTAAGTATGGGCTGTAAGTCTCAATGTGTGTTCGTAAGTGGTTATTTAGTCTTTGTCTTAATGCGTATGTATTTATTGACCCTGTCAGGCTATTATCTAGTTGATGGGCCAAGCTGGCCACTAAGCAATTTCCGTCGGATGGCATTTTAATTGTTCCCACCGAATGATTGCTCGTGTTTACTATTTCCATGTTTGTTTGGTTTGTGTTTATTATTATTTATGTTTTGGCGTTTATTTATGGTATTAGTCAAGTGTTTATTTGGGGGATGGAGTCTTATCTGCCTTTTCTGTTTTGTTTATGTAATGACTTGTGTGGTCTGTCTAATAGGAATGATTACTTTCTGGTGCCAGCTGGGAAAATTAAAATTCCTTTTCGAAATATGATACGTTTTACTAGATTTTTTTGAATAAAATGGTTTGTTATTAGACATGCACTGAGAGAACGAAATATTTGTTAATAACGAGGCACGTTAACTATTAACATATCGTTGAGTTGGATATGGCGAAAGAAATATTAATTTGGGTCTAAGAACTGGTTAAGTTGAATTAAAGAAGCTCATAACGTATTAGCAAATGTAGATATATTAACTGTTAATATATCGAAATTCCATTTTGTAAAAAACTACGGCAACGTCACATGCTTGCGCATATTGCATTTAAAATTATGTTGACAAATGTTAAAACGTTTTATTTAGGTATATTAACTGTTAATATATCACAGTTCTAAGACAACTTTATCCTTTATTTGTCTGAAACACAGTCACCGGACGATGTTTTAATAATTAGTATATAATTTGTTCACGATTAAGAAATTTTTTAATAGTTAACAAATATTTTAAAAAATCGCAACTGTTTTGATTTCTTAATATTAAATATTTCGTTTTCTCAGTGTGCAGTTAGAAAAATTACTTAGCTTGGATATTCGGCTATAATCCTGATGCTCGGTCTTTCACGGTCTGTCCGATGTTTCTGGACCTCCCTGCAGGTACTTGATAGGTTTTGGTTGTGACTATCCCTTCTGACCAGGTGGACCGTTGGCCTTTATTACTTATTCAATTGCACTCTTTTACGGCCTTAATGGGAGATCTCCCACTCTTCACACTTGTTTCACTTTTTTTTTGCACTTGTTGCACTCTTTTTTCACTTGTTGCCCTTATCACACTTTCCGCACTTGAATGTTTATTTATTTATTTATTTATTTATTACCGATGACCGATATTTCCGAATACTTTGGTTTGTTTTTGGAACTTTATTATATTTCTCTCGTATACGCCGCTAGGAGAGGTCTCTTTAACCACTTGACACGTCTATCCACTTCGGATGTCCCGACGCAACACTTTAAAATTCTTAGAAATCCAGGCGGTAAAATTTCTATATTAGGCGCAATCCTTTGGAATGATGATGCTTGGTCATTTTTTTTTCGGTAATCCCTTGCAATTGCTATATGTCGCTGCTAACATGTGTCTAATAAAAATTAAATATTGAGTGAATTTTATATGAAAAAATACACTGTGAGACAAAGTTACCCACAACCAGGGGTTAACTTTACACACCCAATTTTTACTTTTGAAACTCAACCCTACGTAATATTATAACATAGTTATTATGAAAAAGCAACTCAAGACTCAAATTTTGGTATACAATATTTAATGTTTATAATTTTTAAAACCACAAAAATTTTAAGCTTAATTTTGAAAGTGAGCTAAAGCTACCCGTGTTTATGGTAACTAAAATACTTTTTATATTAAATTGTAAAAAATTGTTACCTAATGGTATAATATCGGGTTTATTGTGAAATCCATTTGGTGTGAAATGAGTTTCATTTGAAACTATATCTTGCACATTAAATACATGTGGTTTTTGTGGGGAAGGTGCTCTTGTTATAATTGTGTGAGCAGGTTTGATGATTTGTTCATTTAAAACAACAATTTTTTCTGTTGCATTATATTTTACAGTTTCTTCCAGTTTCTCCTCTTTTCCTTCGATATGTTTAGCTTTTCTATTTATAACATTAACTGTTGGTTTAATAAATTTTCTTCTTAAAATAGCTGGCTGCTTGGGAGGCTCACATATGCTCTTATTTTCTTCGTTTTTACTCAGATTTACTTCGTTCAAATTGGAATCTGACGTTTTTTTGTTGATATTATCCTCTATTTTGCTGATAGAGCTGTCCCCATTGACATCGGGGACTTTCTCTGGAGAAAGTAATTTCTCATCTATCTGCTTTTTTACATCATTCTTCGCTGAAGAATCATTTGTTTCGCCATCTGTCACTTTTTTTCGCTGCGGAATATTTGCTATCCCTTTAATTCGGGTCCGTCTAGATGCCATAATCGTAAAGTAAACGTAGAACTAAGGTTAGGAAACTTTTTATCTATAATGTTCGTATTCGCGAGCTCACTGACATTGTGTGAATGTTTAACACGTTACACATCCATATTGTAGAACTAAAAACATTCACGTTCATATGGCGGACAGAGCACATGGCAAGAAAGTTGAAAGTTATGTTATTTTTTTGGCAACCTTTCTTATATGAAATGAACGTGGAGGGGCACCAAGCACGCGCACTGTTGTCAGATTTATTCTCAACTTTTACTTTTACCTTCAAGTTCACTAATAATTATTATAATCACTTCATAATTACTCCATTAAAGTAATTATTGTAGTATTAAGTCATTGACAATAAGTATTAAATGAGTTTAGATTCTAAACTTTATAATGAACAGCCATGACAAAGTGCGGTGAAAATTGAAGGACTTCTGTAGCAACACAGTTAACGCTTTTGTATACTGTATTGCCTATAATATAGGCCCTATATTTAACATTATTACTATATAAAGTCGCCGCGGCGAGCAGATATTTTATCCTTAACCAACGTCCCGAGTCCGCCCGCTTGCCGAGTCCCGCTGCAGCGCGCTGTCACACTGTAAATCGGTATTATTTTTTCGAGCGACAGGACTTTTACAATAAGCTCGGTAGCTCGATGGAAGGGCGCCTGCTTTGCATGCGAGAGATACGGGGTTCGATTCTTGGTGCCTCTACAACTTTTTTAATTTTTTTTAAAGAAATTATATACCGAAATAATACAATGTGGCCTTTTTTAATTTTTTTTTAAAGAAATTATATACCGAAATAATACAATGTGGCCTTAAAAGCATTTATATTTAATTTTACATTAATATTTTAATTTATTTACCTTTCCTCATAATAATTTTGCAACAGTTAAAGAAATTATATACCGAAATAATACAATGTGGCCTTAAAAGCATTTATATTTAATTTTACATTAATATTTTAATTTATTTACCTTTCCTCATAATAATTTTGCAACAGTTATATAATATAAAATGTAATTGAATGAATATTCTTTCGTTGAAAAATTTGTACTCAATGGGGCGGGGGGGGGGCAATGGGGCGGGGTCGGTTGGGTTGGGTTGTTGGGTTTGGGTTGGTTTCGAAGCTTCGCAATTTTCTGTACCTAGACGTTAGTCACTGAGTTCGCAAGCGCGAGATGACTCGGTAAAGCAGCGGGACTCGGCAAGCGGGCGGACTCGGGACGTTGGTTAAGGAAAAAATATCTGCCCGCGGCGATCGTATGTCGACAAACTAGTTTTTGACATTTAAAATTTATGACGCAACGGAAAACATTCACCGCGGCGACTATAGTATACTTAATAATATTAATATATTAAGTCAATACTTGGTATATGGGGCAAAATTTGCCAAGTGTACCAGGTGAAAAAATTTTTGTCACCGATTTTGTTTAAACTTTACTTATTTATTGTTTTTTTAACGACGAATCATAGCATAAAAATTTTTTGCTCTAGGATTGTTCATTCAAGAGTTATGGATTATTGAACTTTATCGATTTATTACTTTTTGGTGAAATCGCTTTTTATTTAAAAATTCATAACTTCTGTTCATCTCTTTATTAAATATTTTAATTTAACCACCTTAAATGATTTTTTCCGTACTTTTCAATGGGCTATACCAGTGGCGGCTCGTGGCAGTAAAATTTGTGAGTTCTGCCAGTGGGGTTTAAAAAAATGTGGCGCAGTTGGCATTTAATTAAATGGTACCTACAGATAATTAATTAAATCATAATTAAATCATACACCACATTCATTCTTACAAAAGAATACAACAACAAACACAAAACACAAAAATACACAGAATTAACAGTCTTCTAGTTAAAATAACAAACGTGAACGCGAAGCGAAAAACAAACGACCGGGAAGTAGGAACTGTATGTTGGTGCAGCTCCGATTTGGCTAAAATTTCGCCATCTTAATCCAGGACCAAGAGCGGCGCGGAGCAAAATTACGGTATTGAAATGGGTGCCAGAACTCGAAAGTGGCCCAGCTTTGTTGTATTGTAAGCGTTAAGCGTTATAGACCTTTACCGGTCGTTTGGATGACTGTAGTGGCCAAGTACGGCGACACGGCAAATGTTTATAATAAAAACTTTTTATGCAGCCTTGCGTTTGAAATATTTATACACTGTCGCACTTAAATATTAAATAATTAAAAAATTAGTCAAGTAATAAGAAAATTTTGGGAGTTCTGCAGCTCTGCAGCCCTTATACACTAGCCGCCCCTGGGCTATACCATTTTTGCAACAAAAAAAAAAATTTGCAATTTTTTTTGTAAATTTTGCAATATTTTGCATTTTTTTAAACAATGTGTATTTTTTATTTTTTTTTTAAATAGCATAAAATCGAAGTTTATTATGTTACCTTTGAATAAAAAAAATTTTACAGTGGGCCCGACATGTAGAAGGGAAGTTTTTCATATTTGAATGCGTGCGGGTCTAGCCATCGAATAGCTACTACACTGCCGTATGCGTTTATACCAAGTAGATGCGAGTAAACGAATACAAAATGATAATTTAAAATGTAAAATTATGTTTGAGTAGTCAATGATATATTTTAAATATTTACACTGCCGCACGATATAGTTTTTTAACTGTATTTTTTTGCACAAATTGTTTAAGCATGGGTCTACATAGATTTCGCAAGGAGGATCGATGATATTAAATAAAAAATGTATTGTTATAACCGTAACGGCTTGCCTATAAGCTGAATAGGTCAATAGCGTTAATAATATATAATGTCTATAAACGGTTTTTGCTGTCATGACGAGCTCTAAACATTCGCCGTACGGACATTAGGTACTTACTTTTTAAACCGTAACGGTCAGTCAGAATATTTGTGTTGCCAATTGGCCGATTAATATTAATCGGCAGATTAAAATATGATTTTTTTAATTTAATTAATTACAGATTAAAATATGATTTGTAGATTTCGTAATTCGGAGGATTTTTTGCGGATATTACTAGAATAATGTTAATTTTTATTTTTGTGGCTAAAGTAAAATACAGAAAGAATAGTTGGTGTTGTTTTTCTTCAATTTTTCGCCCTACCATACTAATTTTACATTTTAAATTATCATTTTGTATTCGTTTACTCGCATCTACTAGGTATAAACGCATACGGCAATGTAGTAGCTATTCGATGGCTAGACCCGCACGCATTTAAATATGAAAAACTTCCCTTCTACATGTCGGGCCCACTCTAAATTTTTTTTTTATTCAAAGGTAACATAATAAACTTCGATTTTATGCTATTTAAAAAAAAAATTAAAAAATACACATTGTTTAAAAAAATGGAAAATATTGCAAAATTTCAAAAAAAAATGCAATTTTTTTTGTTGCAAAAACGGTATAGCCCATTAAAAAGTACGGAAAAAATCATTTAAGGTGGTTAAATTAAAATATTTAATAAAGAGATGAACAGAAGTTATGAATTTTTAAATAAAAAGCGATTTCACCAAAAAGTAATAAATCGATAAATTTCAATAATTCATAACTCTTGAATGAACAATCCTGGAGCAAAAAAATTTTATGCTATGATACTTCGTTATAAGAACAACAATTTTTATTTATGTATTTAAATAAGTAAAGTTTAAACAAAATCGGTGACAAAAATTTTTTCACCTGGTACACTTGGCAAATTTTGCCCCATATACGCCATGGCGTATACTATAGTTGCAAGAGTGCAACATTAAAAGCAAATTTGATCATATATGAACAAATTTGCTTATACAGGGTGTTATGTAATTAATGTTATATATTAAAATACTGAATACCTTTTGACATAAGGAATAAAGGAAAAATATTTAAAAAAATATTTTTCCAAAGATAAAGAAAAAATATGCATTAGAAGTTTTTTATATTTTTTGTGATACGCCACTGGTTACACACTTGTTTATCTCGCACACCTGTATTTTGTGAGTACATAGATACCAACCAACAAAGTAGCTATGCGTTGCCAGATGTAAAAAATTGTTACTAAAAATTTTTCTTGCAAAAAATAAATAAAAACTCAATAAATACAAAAGTTTTATGCCCTTAAAGCTCTAATACCCTTCTGTATTTATTTACTGATCCAGCTATTAGCTTAAGCAATGATTAGAAAATTTAGTACCTTTGAAATTTTTTTTCTCTGTTTACTCAGATGAAATTGGGACCAGTTCACAGGTTAAACTTTAAACATTTAATTTGTGTAAATAAATCCAAAGGCACTTCCCTTAGTTAAGATATTTACAATTTGAAAACATAACCTAAAATTTAAAAGAAATGCACTAGATTCTGTCATAAAAGTTGGCAGATTTTGTTTGAATTTACCTTCAGTACAAAAATGAAATACCCAATGGGGCGGGGTCGGTTGGGTTGGGTTGTTGGGTTTGGGTTGGTTTCGAAGCTTCGCAATTTTCTGTACCTAGACGTTAGTCACTGAGTTCGCAAGCGCGAGATGACTCGGTAAAGCAGCGGGACTCGGCAAGCGGGCGGACTCGGGACGTTGGTTAAGGAAAAAATATCTGCCCGCGGCGATCGTATGTCGACAAACTAGTTTTTGACATTTAAAATTTATGACGCAACGGAAAACATTCACCGCGGCGACTATAGTATACTTAATAATATTAATATATTAAGTCAATACTTGGTATATGGGGCAAAATTTGCCAAGTGTACCAGGTGAAAAAATTTTTGTCACCGATTTTGTTTAAACTTTACTTATTTATTGTTTTTTTAACGACGAATCATAGCATAAAAATTTTTTGCTCTAGGATTGTTCATTCAAGAGTTATGGATTATTGAACTTTATCGATTTATTACTTTTTGGTGAAATCGCTTTTTATTTAAAAATTCATAACTTCTGTTCATCTCTTTATTAAATATTTTAATTTAACCACCTTAAATGATTTTTTCCGTACTTTTCAATGGGCTATACCAGTGGCGGCTCGTGGCAGTAAAATTTGTGAGTTCTGCCAGTGGGGTTTAAAAAAATGTGGCGCAGTTGGCATTTAATTAAATGGTACCTACAGATAATTAATTAAATCATAATTAAATCATACACCACATTCATTCTTACAAAAGAATACAACAACAAACACAAAACACAAAAATACACAGAATTAACAGTCTTCTAGTTAAAATAACAAACGTGAACGCGAAGC